TTGTTCAATATCATTGGTCTGTGTAGTCATTGATAAAACATCAGAAAATGTTTTAGTTAAGGTTGTTGGTTACAAAGCATTTACACCTTAACTTCTTTGTGTCTAAAGCGGCTCGACTTCAGGTGAACTCAACTATTTCAAGAAATTTAAACTTGACAAAAATGTACTAAGATTTTAAGAAAAAACATTCAAGTAATAAACTACATGTTATTTGCGATTAATGACATTTTTTGCAGTATTTATCGCCATATTATTGCCATATGACTAACGCAGTAAATGCTAGTTCTGCATATTTTACAATATTTTTGGTAATTAACCTCAATGTATAAATGACATTTTTGTTCACATTATTTGAGCTTTGAATAAATTTTCAAAATGAGCATGAATTTGCAGACATGTTGCTTTAAAGCTATACCATGCTCAAATTTGACATTGGTAAATATTATACAATTATTTACTAGTGTGCAATTGGATATGATGTGATATTTACCGGCAGATGACATCGCCTCGGTCAATATGACTTTCTGCCGGTGATTATCATCATCATATTCAATGGCACACTAGTCAATAATTGTTTTATTATATGAATAGGCTATCAGAATTAAAAAGAAATCACGACTTTATACATGTACAATATTTGCCTGTTTCGTTGAAACGCGGGAAAAAGACGATCGTGAAAGGCGTGCAACAACTACTCGAACGCTGCGCATACAAAAGTAATTCAAGTTTATACTCTTGTAACTTTTAACTGTAATTGTAAAGTAATGATATTTTAATCGAGAAATATACCATAAAGAACAAAACGCAGCAATTATATTTTGATAAGCACGCGTTATTAATAGTCTAAGATATATGGTCATTTAAAATGAGTCTCAATCTATTTTTGGACTTGGAAAATCCAATTCAGGCAGTGAATATGATACTACAACCAGTGAATAAGATTCTATAAAAAGTTCTGTTATCTACTGTTTGGACCAATGAGATTGCAGCTATATTTAGATCATATAATAATAATAATAATATTTGCTACAAAGTCTCTTTGTAAATTTAAAATAAACTTTTTTGGCCTCACATGAAGTAGATATGTTAGGTTCAAAACCCTACACACTATAGGCTGTCACACTGTGAATATATAGACAGTGTTATTAAAAAACTGGCAGTTTATTGTAATGACATATAATAGGGAACGCAATTTCCCATACATATTTTATTCATTCATTTTTCAAATTAGAGGTAATTGGTTTGAATTTTATAGATTTCAATAAATATCTTAGATTAATGTATTTGACTCAAAAATGATCATAGAAAATCTTTAAAACCTCTAGTAGTTGTAAATTCTATGTTCTCAAGCTAGATCATGAATGGTCGCTGGTTCTTATTTTACATAATCTGGGCTGGAAACTTAAAATCAGTGTCTTCCATAGAAATATAATTCTATTTGAAAGACCCTGTTAAAATATAACGAAATTGTCGAGTGGATTATGGAATGAGTGCTGGTTCAACTCTGAAGACAGTCTGTAGCTGATTAAGTGGTAAAATGGACATCTGCACTCTTTGCCATTATATTGAAAAAAAAAAAATAACGTGGTATTGCAGATAACTTGCTGAAACCGAACCAGTCAAATTGCTTGAAATATTGTGAAAAAAGGAAATGTGTTGTGAAAAGACAAATCTAAGTACAACTTTTCTTTACTATTTTTTTGCTCAAATTTTCAAAACAAAATATCATAACACTCTTCGGAATCTGTGTCGGAATTAGTAACCTTTCCGTGTAGGTCAAAAAACTATAAAAGCTATCCATTTCAAACTTAATATACATATTAATTGTCATGAAAAGATGCCATTTGAAAGAGACAGATAATCCTAAAATGATATTTTGCAATGTTATCACCCATTCTAATTTAGATGATTTAAATTCTCGTTAACCTTCTGTTAAGGTCAATTTTCTCAGTAACTATCAAAGTAATTCACATTAAACTTGATATACATGTTCATTAACCAAATGCGTCACGATTTCAGTATGGTAGATAATCCTAAAATTCATTCTTAACTAGAGTTATTCCCCCATTGTTGACTGATCTTTTTTCCACTAATGTCAATTTCTCTTCATTGTTTTTAATTGTTTGTTAACTTTTTTGCTAGGGTACATAAAGTTGAAGTGCATTCGTTGAAGTGCATTTGTAGGGAGAAGATAATCCTGAAAATCTTTTTTTTGCTTTTATTATTACTCTTGTGCCATTCGGAATATTTGCCTATTTCTCACAAACTCTTAAAAGTATTTATTTCAAACTCGAAATATTTGTTGACTATCAAGTGGCCGAGTGGTTAAGGCAGTTGACTTCAAACCACTTGCCTCTTACCGTTGAAGGTTCGAGCCACGCATTCGTCTTCGATTCTTTTATGTGCAAAATATATCTAACTAGCTTACGGAACATCGGTGGTTCTGCTCACAAGTGACTGAAATAATTCCCAGAGGTGCATAATTGGGGCCTTCCTCCAAAAGTAAATCTAGACAGTCGACATATAACATATACTGTGTCTGTCCGACGTAAAACCCAACAAACCCAACAAAACTAACAGACAAACATAAAATGTATAACGAGTATATGTGAAGACTTCCACTTTTCCTTTAGACCCCCCCACTCCAAGGATCAAGGTCAATACAATATAATATACATTTATCCATGTGTTGAAAAATGCTTGCTTGTTTCTTGATTGTTTATTGTTTATATCGTACATTGTAGATTGTACATTGCTTGTATTTGTATTTCCAACAAGAGCAAAACTTTCAATGGTGATAATTCATTACCTGGTTGTGTGGCATTGTACTGTTTCTTCCTTATAATTTCCTAATATCAATATCTAACGGATTGTTAAACTTTAATCTATAATACTTGTTCAAGTTGAGAATTCAAATGAATTGTAATATTCTGTGTTTTAAACTAATAGATACCTTATTATTTTCTGAACGTAAATTTACGAAGGACATAAATAAACAACTATAAGTCAGTCTAATGTTTCACTTTTATTAGACGCCGCTTGCAAGCGGCGTCTAGTAGATATGCATTTGTCCATACAGCAATGGGGAAAATTTTAGACTTGATGTTGTGTATTTTTTTTTAACAAAATCACACTGTTTTTAAATTTTCTAATACAAAATAGCTTTTATGATGTACAACATGCCACAGAGCTTTAAGGGTTTAGAATAAACGATTTACTGAAGTGATAGTGCCATGTTTGAATATCATATTCTTTTTATCATTATATAATTTTATCTACATAATAAATAACGTGCCAATGAGCCAATCTATAGTCGATCGTTCTAAAGAGAGGGCAGTGTCACTTCATTTGCTTCGCCTCTGTTGAAGTTCGGCTCCGCCTTAAATTGCCATATTAAATTTGATATTATGCTCCATATTCTAGCATTTAGTCTTCGTTGACGGGGTAGAAGAGAACCAGGACAACTTTGATCAATATCACTTGTCGAATCATTAAATTACAAATTACAAATCCTAAACCACGCCCACTATCAGAGAGGCGGTTCTCACTCAACCGTTTAGAAGGTACAACAAACCGGTTACGCTACGGCCTGTAAGGGGAGATCATTGCATAACAGTTTGTCCTCAAAATCATTTGAACATAATGCAGTTCGTACCAATTTTAAAATGGGTATATTCTCACGGCACATATTGTCTTGAATTTATTTTAAGTATACCAATCATTTCAATTTTATTTGTCATCCAATTTATTTTGATTCGACCAGACGTTTCAGTCTTTGTCGCAACAGACACACATTTAAGAATTTCAGACCTGGCATTATTTTGTGAATTTAGGATTAGGTTTTACTTTTTCACAAAAATATGCAACTTTATTATTAAACAACGAGCACATACTAAGAACATGGAGAAAAAATTGATTTGTGCTTCGGATATTCAAGCGTAATATAGAGAACGATTTTCGATGCTGATTGACTGTTCACATCATTTGGCGGCGTCTTTGATGTGAAGCATCAACATTTAACTTGTTCAGTACTAATCGGATTATCGGACAATGATAGACAACTTAACAGTATATAAACGAAATCACGGTACCTTGTCTTAAAAGCCTATACAATTCAATGTTTACCCAGTCTTGCGATTACTGGTTACTTACGGTCACTGTACCTTTCCTGGGGTCTCTTTATATTTTAACCCATACCTTTCTTGCGATAAAAGGGACACTGTGGCTTTTTGTCGAAATAAAGTTACACTATGAATAGAATTTTCACGTGAACACAGTTGTGTTACGTACAACAATTTTCAAGAAGAGCAAAGAGCGTATATTAAAGTTTGTGCATTGCTTGGCTTTAATGCGTCTGATATTTAATCAGATTAAGACATTTTTAGAACTTTATAGAGATATGTTTTATCAAATGCCACAGTTACAAAAAAATGTAGGAGCTAGGTCCGATTTTGTATATCTGATTAATTTGATATCTAATTTCAGCGCCGGTGGGGCATTCCTGAAACAGCAACACCGAAAGTGATTTTGCTGCACCAGCATCAGTCATTTTGGAAAGCGGATGACTGATTTATCAAGTAAAGTCATCAGTTGTTCATACAGTACTGACATATTTAAAAGCTACATAAGGTTTGTGCCCGTTGAATACTCTGTCTCGTCATTGCTGACCACTTGATATAGCACACATGAATTGCGACACCACAGCTCGGTAGGTACAATAATGATGACCGAAACACATGAATGAAATCGTGACTGGCAATAAAACAACATACTCGAGGATTAATGTTATGAGCCAGGAAAAGTAAGTTGTTGACAGTCGAATATGATAGAAAGCGCCAAAGCTCGTAACACAAAAAGCAACATGTACGCACTACTTTCAGATCGCCAGGAATTTGTATAGAGTTTTATGTTCTAGAAGGCACACGTGTCACTAGGGTCTTTAAAAAATATATATTGTTGCAGTTGTTTAGTACTTTGCGCACGTTACAGCATGTGGCTCAACCCATACCCATACTATAAATGCTACGTGAAAGGGCACCGCTTCGAATCTCACGCCGTTAATACATGTAGCAAGTTTTTCAGTGCATGAATATTTTAAATAGAGAATATTTCTCTATATTATCATTGCATTTTCCGATTAAAAAGTTTATCTGAGTAAAGGTAGAATTCAATTACATGGAAAAGCTGGACCGACCATTAACCCATAAATATCTCACCTACCACAAAACTGATTCATGCTTTTCAAATTATGCATATTTATTCAGATATGTGTTTTGACAAATTCCACTCAGTCAAATCTCCATTATTTCATGGATTGTATTGGTGATGTATGGGAAAGTGCATTTAAATATTGAAACTATGACTGGATACTTTATATTTGATAATTAAAACAAAAAATAAATCTATAACGACTGAAATATCAATGAAAGTTTGCTTAAAGTGGCACAAAAACAAACGAGTGAGTGAGCAACAAAATCAAGATAAAATATGCATATGATATTGTGCCCCTAGCACCTACTTTAAAGATATTCAACATTTAAAACGGTTAAAGTTTAATAAGGAAACATCTGAAGATGTAATAATACTGCGGTTTTCATAAAACCTTTATTGCACGTAAGTGTCACTCCATGCGTTGTATGACCCTCAATAAATCGGGAAAAAGAACAAAAACACAACTTATTGTTGACAGTGTACGAGTTATATATAAGGCATACAAGTTCCACAAGCTTTTGTCAGAGGACATAGATAGTTTATCAACAATGAGATCATGTGAGAATATGCTATTGCATTAACCTTTTGATAAATGCGGCAAGGTCGTCTTCAGCCTCACAGTGATCTAGTAGGAGTTTCACACTCTGTTTGATGTTAATATAGTTGATACGTTCATCAAGGAAAAGTTTGCCTTTTTTGCTTTTTGATTTAATTTGATATGTGTTATTTTTCGAACTGAAACTTATAACGTTCTCTTTTAAAAGATCGCTTGTAAGCTTCGCATTGTTTCTACACATGTTCAAAACCATGCTCTCAATGTCGCCATCCTTCCAATGAAAATGGTAGTCGTCATTTTTCTCCTCCGGGTTAGAATTATCTCTATCTAAAAGAAATAAGTGATTTAGCTTGAGTTTGTCACATACTTTATGATAGAATACACTCTGGCCTTCACCATTCATCTTGATAAATGTATATTCTAACAGACTGTTCTTCAACTTGTCGCTTGCATCCCCAGTGAACACTCTTGATGTGATAAGGCATTCACCATTTACAATCTGACTTTTAAGTTCTCCAAGGAAAAGTTCCTCTGAATCGCCCTCATAAAATAACACTTTCCTTGCAAAGAAAATGTCCGAAATATGCTGTGATGTAAACAATCTGATGTCCTTCATACTGACAACTTCCTCTTCGTCAAGGACAGATTTGCCGGATATAATTCGGTTGCCTTCTTCACTTCGCCTGAAGATAAATGTTCCAAGTATTGTCCAAGGAGTTATAATTCCCTTCTGGTGTGTAGTGAGTATAACAAGTGTGTTGTTGTTCTCTTTTTTCATTATCTGAACCATTCTTTCTACGAATTGTGGATGCATTCCTCTTTCTGGTTCTTCAAGCAAAAGGGTCTTGTATTGTTTGCTTGAAATCAGGATAGAAAATTCCTTTGCGCCCAAAATGCCTTCTGGCGTTTTTATCAAAGCAAATCTGCCCCTTTTTGGACGGCTCTCTCCTGTCACCATCTGCTCGAAGTTGTCATCTTCACCTTGTGTTACTTGACTGAAATAGGTTTTTTCTTTGCCCTTGTCAAACTTTTCTAAGTGGTTATAATAAAAGTTTATTATTTCACATCTGTTTACAGCCTCTTCGTAATTTTCATTTCGATGCTCTATGGTGTGACGTTTACTTTCAGACCACTGATAAGGAGCCATTGACCGCGACGGGAATGTAAAAACAAACTGCTCTGTCATTGTGCGCAATATTTCTTTCAATTTGTCAGGAGAAGTATTTGAGGCTTTGTCGAGATTTACTAAAATTGACTTGATGCAATCCTCCATGCCTTTTCCATTGTCATTTACATTTGAAAAAGTTTCAATGCATTTGTCTATGGTAATGGGTGAGTTTTCATTGGTCAGCATGTAGCTTGCAGACACCTCAAGATCGGTTTCATCCCCTGATTTTCTTAAAGTAATCAGATCAATCAGTATTTTATCTTGGTTAGAAATGGCAAACTTATAATACTCTTCTATGGTATTTTTAGTTGTGGATTTGTTTCCAGATGAATCTCTTTCAGAATTTATATCGGCGGCACCACTACGATTTTGCATCTCATCTTGTCCGTCTTGATTCCGCTTAGAATTAAGAGGATTAGACACGATACCGAGTACCACGTCATTACTTCGTGAACTATCAGTTTTAATGTTGCAGATGAAAAAAGAGATTTTTTCAGAGTCAGATACTGAAGATATTGATGTACTAAGTTCCAGCTTTAAACACCGTCGGATACCTTCTAAAACAGAACTTTTACCAGAACCATTTTCGCCAATGAGAATGAAAGGTCCATCGTTTGAAAAGTCCATCACCTGGTAGTCTATGTATCCCACAAAGTTTTTGAGATGAACAGATCGCAACATATCTGCTCCTAAATCTGGATAACATAAGCAAACAGAAAAATGAGCTAGTTAAAAGATAGAAAGGAAACAAGAAATTATCTTTAAAAAAAAAGATACTCGCCGAAGTAAAACTGGTAAACATGCAAAATTATGTTATTTATAAGTTTTAAATACAAAATAATGTTTGCAAAGCTTATATAACAATGACATGATTATTTGTTCTTGTAGCTTAGAAAAAACCAATAACACTGAATTTAAATTATAGCATATTAATTTGAGGATCATTCAAAGTAGGACAACTTCTATTTAAGGCGCCCCTTTTACTTGTTTTACGTTTGACTTTGTAAATGTTGTAATCATGTACAAATTAACCTATAAATTAAGAACTATCGTTATTCCTGTAGGCAATTCTATCCCTTACATTTTATCTTGGAGCTTTCCTTAAATTTAATTTTAGAATATTAAGAACTATCCTTTACATTTTATTTCAGAATAGTTAGAACTGTCCTTTACTTTTATTATAATGACCAATGAGATTCACCGATTTGAGTTTGTAATTTTAAAATGACCTATGAAAATTCTTATTATATTCAGTCCTCCCCTGTTAATTTTTCAGGAAGTCATACTGATAACAGACGGACTTCGTCCGAAAAAGGGTTTAGTAGTAAATCAATTTTTACAGATTATTAAACCAGGAATATCAACTTAGAATTTTCCTAATTCAGGTTAAAACAATATCGTTTTAAACTTATTCCTTAAAGTGTACGAATCATAATACGAGACTTGATTATTAACATATAGTTTTTATTTGTACATTTTATATTATATGTTTGGTCTAGTGTCTGCTTAAAACGAGGGTAAATCTAAATAATTATATATGAGCATACATATTCGGTTTTTTGTTCATGGAAGGTTTAAAGTACATTGTAGTTATATTTGTAATATCAGAAGATTGGATGTCCAGTAGTTGACTATGGTATACTGACTAGCCCATACTCAACGTCAGGTTCGACATGCTTAACTCGTCTATATTTCAAATGGTTTATTCTTTTAAATTTTTCTTAAAATATGATAAACAAGATCAACATGGAAAGTCGGCCTTTCAGTCGATAAATATGTTACTATAAGATTGTAGAAATCTGGAAACCAACCAAATTACTAGTCCTGCCGTTTAATAATGATTTTATTAATAATTTATTTCGGTATATAATTTCATGACATTTCATGGTACTAAACGAGAAACCATATCACAAAGTTATTGATTAGAAAACAGAAAACGTATTTTATAGAAGTAATTATGACTTTAAAATAAAAAACAAGAATTAAGATCAACAAGGCAAAGGCAACGTTCATAGGACTCAGCCCCTGACACACCAAAGTAGGGCACCCAGAAGTGAAAAGAAGGCAAACTAGAAAAAGTAAAATAATAAGCATTTTGGAAAATTTGTTTCCATTGAGGATGTATAGTATGTCCTTGCAAGTCAATAGAACTTAGTTATTGTTTTGCAATGTAAATAATAAAGGAGACGTATAAAACGTATATATGCAATCTCAAAACATAAACAGTAAACAGCATTTTTTTACATAAAGCCTGATCTGTTGCAGATTAGTATTCTTTATATTGTGTGGCAGTTTATTCCGCACTGAGCAACCATTGTAGGAAAAAGACCCTTTAACTTTAGAAATTCTCATATAAGACACGTTCGGTCAGCCTGGTATTATGATTAAGTATAAAACTGGCTTGAGTGAAATTTTGTATAAATGTATAAAGGTGAAGATTTTGAAAGCATGATTTATAGTGATTTGCACGTCCCCTCTTGAAACTGAAACAATTTTACATGCTGAAATGGCCCTAATGTGACTAAGTCCACGTGCAAACTAAATAATCGTTTTCCGAGTAGCCTGGAGTCTGTTTTTTTCTGATAACTTACATGTCCTTGTTATAAATATGTTTTTTTTTGTGTTCTATACTGAAACTTAAGTCTTGCATTTGCTTTTCTAATGACTGATGATATCATAATCACGAGGCTCAAAATTTGGTCTAAAATGACTCCTATGCATTTGTCCGAATTAGTGTTGCTAATAGTAGTACCATCACAAATAATATTAAAATTTGGTTCCCTTTTTAACTTGATTTTTGACCCAAACAAAATTGATTCTATTTTCACTAGATGAAATGACAACTTGTTAGCAACTAAACAGTTACTAACTTATTCAAGATCCTTGGTTAGCAAACGTTCAATTTCTCACCTGCATTTACTAGAAATTTCTGCATATGACGAATAAGTGCAGGAAATATTTATACATTGTTGTCTACCTAATTAAATATGAATGGAACCATCTGACAAATTCTCGACTCAATCTCGTCATTTTGAATTTATCAAAAAGTATAGCGTCGTCAACAGTATCAAAAGCTTTCTGCAAATCTAATAGGACCGTGTCAACATAAAAAAACAGTATCTAAATTAAAACTTATATTATAAGATATTATATACAATTCTTTTAACTATCTTTGGAATAATACATAAAATTGTAATTATGGAGGGCGTTCCAAAATTCCAGACATGTAAGTCTTTTTTCTCCTAAATTACTCTTGAAAATGTGAACGTGTATTTTTAGCATTTTTTATTGTGTCCGTATACAGCAAATAATATGCCTACTAATCCAATCCTTTAGTTGGAGATTTCCGCTTTGAAATAAAAATTAAGATATAGATCTTCACAACTGACCTTACATACACGTTCACATTTTCAAAAGTTGTTTTCTTAAAGAACACTTTACCTTTACGCATGTTTTAGGTTCTTTGGAACAACACACTATATTAAAGACATAGAGGATATTTGTTTGTTTGTGTGTAAGATGAAATTTTATTTCATCGAGTGGGCTTAAAAACAGTATATATACTGATATACAGAATACTGTTTTTAAAGTTCACGAGATATAATTACATCTTACACAACAAACAAACAAATTTTCTTTTTATTTTATGCTTAAAAACAAGTTAAAACGAAATTTCCTTAATATTTACGTTAATATTAAAATCTGTTTCCCCATTTAGAGCCTCAAAAAAGTCGAATTTCTCATTAAATACAAGAAGTCATGGGCTGAAAAATAAGTTCCACAATCAACGTTAAATGGTGGTGATAGTATTCATTTTATTAAAAAAATATGTCTGATCCAATGTTTAAATAATAAAAACAAACAATTCTAGTAGGAGAAAAAGTCCAACCATCCATCCATATTTCTGTTACTGACTGTGTTTTTATATTAGACCTGGCTTTGTTAAATGTAAGCGGCCGCCATTTTTAAAGTTGTGTATTTCACTGGAGGAAAATAATTGTGTTTGATTCAGAGGGATATCATTTGGATTTGTTAGTCATACACCTTTTTAAAAGAAAGAAAACTTATATGAGGATTGTAACAGACAATAAATAAGTGTTGACAGATGAGTAAACATTCAAAAAAAGTGGATAGGAAATTGGAAAACTTGGAAGCCTTACGAACGCTGGGTTGTTTTACATATTCTTCGACTGAAAGCTGCCATTGCTTTTCAAGTTTTCATAAAGCATACTGCAGTTTTTGCTCGTAGGATACTTAAATATTCCCAAATGTCATCAAGAGCAGTTTTGCATGTGGAAGGAATGTATTTTTCAGACTGTAAAAATGAAAAAAAAATTAAAGAGACGATATTTGGTGATTGGTAATTTTAATGAATAGAAGTAACTTACTGTAAGTTTTCTTCTTTTTATTACTTTTGACATATAAGTTATTTATCAATTTCAGCTTTGGTTTTCTTTAAACAGCCTGATATTGACGGAATAGTCAGCAAAAATAAAATTGAGGTACCACATGGGGAAAATCTTAAAAAAGTAGTTTCGTCATTGAAAAGTGTGAAATTTTTATTTTGATAATTTTCACTGTGAAATTATCAAATATAATTTTCATGGATATATCAGTAATCCACTGAAAAGCATAAATAAAAATTAATAATATGAGGACAAGTCATAAAAGCCCCATGTTTTACAAAACGTCATGGAATACCACTCAGACCCTTGGCTTACTAAACTGTTAAAATATTTCAATACCTTGTTTCTTTTTCTATTAGCCAAAGATCAAACATCAAACTTTAAGACCGGGATTAGTAATTGTATTTTGTTTTACCAATACGAAGATGGATTTCTTCAATCGAAGTTCACGGCGCCATTAAATTCACCAACCTAAATGGATACAACACAAAATAAAAGCATTATAATCGTATGCAGTAGGAAAACAATAAATTGAATTAATTAATATTTACCACTAATGTATATTTTCTCTCACGATAAATGGTATATTTAGAAACGATCGTTAAAACATTGTAAACAGGCATTCTTTATTCAAATGATTGAAACATGATTAAAATGCGCATTATTATGTAACGGCTAAATTTCAAAAGAATATTCTTTACTTTGATATTTGTACACCTAATCGATGTGACCTTCCACAAAGATCAATACTTTGTGACAATATAAGGTTTATTGTGGGTATTTGTAAAAAAAATATGAAACTTGGCATAGGTATTAATAAAAACATTGCATTTGTTTTAGTAAATGGAATACGATTTATCAGATTTTTCTTATACGTTATTGATTTCAAATATCGAAGGTTGTCGTCGTTTCCAAATTTTCAATAATTTTCAAGACGTATAGAGTTAAGAATGTCTGCTAAGTTTTCATTTAACACATTACGTACATTACATCAAAATAATTAACTCGTTACACAAATCAAATTATATCATGAAAGCCAGTTGCAGAATGTATGGTACATCCTTCATAGGATTTTTCAAAACTTTTCACGATTTTTGAATAATTATGAAAACAAAAGTATTTTTAGCGAAAGTTTGGAATCGACAAACTAGTGTGTCGATTATTTACCCTTGAATTGAAAAAGTATCTCACGTATAAGTTATTCCCTATAAGTGCATCTACTCGTGCGAAAAGGTCGACGCAAATAAAGTCTATGACGGATACAAAACTGATTCAGATGGTTTATCTATGTCGGCTGAAAATTAATATTAGTTTCGGCTTTTGTGGTCAATAACTTTAAACAGCAGGTGTTAAATAAGCTTTTAAGATCAATATTATTCGATTCTCACTAAACCAAGTAAGGGAGTGGTAAGTAATCTTACTTTTCAAGCGGAGATGATTAGTTCTGCTGCCTATTTTCGTATTTGGCTTCTTAATTCTGCGCTTTATGTATCGTAGCTATCTTTATTTTCTATTATTATTTTAGCAATTCTATCTTACGTATCAGAGTAATATACTAGATGACGTCATTCTGCTTTTTATAAAAAAATCTAATATTACTCTAATATTTATTATATCAACTGGTACCGATAAAGATAAAATTAAAATCATGCCGCGCAAGTATCTTTAACATTATGAAAAAGGAAAACATACAAGGAACGGAAAATACGAGTAAATTCATTATTCATTATTGCTTACTCATTGTATGCATTCATTATTGCTATACATTTTATCGGAGGGAGGACATGGAAAGGAGAGGAGCCGCACACACATGTAATCCGTAAAAAGTGTTTAAGCAGTTTAAAATTCTGTATGTATAGTGACAAATTCAAGAGTCATGTTAAACATAAATTGTCTGGTCTGTATAACTACTTACAACTGTACCAGCTTAAATGCGACACCTGTCTCTTATAAACAAACTCAAATAGAACGAATCTGCCACATTCATATTTGCTTTTGTTTTAATTACTCTGAAGAGGTCTCCCGTTGTCCATATTTTTTATCATGGAATTGGGTAGATGATATTATTTAAAAAATTTAGCAGCCAACTGTGCTTATACTAATGAATTATTCAAATATACTGTTATAAATGTTGACAAAATGATTTGTTTTTTAACAAAACGTGGAATTTGGCATTGTAGTGTTAATAGTTTAAATGATTTCAGAAAATCCAAAAGTGTTTGTCTATTTCTAATTTAACAGTTTGATGGAATCTTACAACTTCAAGAATATACATTGAAGAGTCTATACTGTCATATCGCAAACAGAAAATTACAAAAAACACTTCAAAAGGTATCAAGGCTAGTATACCGAAATTATACGATATAATGGTATAATGGTATAATTGTGTTTATATAATGACAAATATTTGTTGACGACGATAATTAAATATTATGAAGTTAAAAAAAAATAATAAGTTGTACTTCGATTATGGAATGATTGAAATCATAATCTCAGGCTAATTTAACCTTACGTTTCTTCTTTGCATTTGATAGTGTCACAAAATCAATTTTTTTTCGTAATAGCCAATGAAAAGAAATTCCAGTGTCAGTTAAGAGTTATTAAGGCGATAATGTCTAAAATGAATATTATTCTTAGACATTAATGATCATATTTCAGCTCCTACCAGGCGACCGTTTCCTTAACTTTAATTATCTCTTTTAATGGCACTGGTCATCAAAAATTTTTGTCTGATTCCGTTTCCGATTCGTTTTTGCATTATTTTGAGGGTGTTTTTTACAGCAATGTAAGGCCCAAAACCCTTATCCAAGCAAAATGTCCTAGAGGGTCCCGCGAATTATGGTCGCTTTTTGGATTTGCAATTTGTTCTTTAATGTTATATAGTGTTAGAGCTTCGTTAAAAATTTAGAGCCAATTATTTCGTCTGATTCCGTTGCCAATTCGTTTCTTAACCAACAGTAGGGACCTCTTAACGTCAATATAGGGATAAGCGATTTGTTCTTTCTGCATAATATTCAATGTATGAATCTTCGTAAAAATCAGATTTTTCCATGAAAACCATATATCTGATTCGCAATAGATCCGTTAGCTTTGAAGGTATTCTTTATAGCAATGTAAGGCTCAAAGCCCTAATTCTAGCAAATTGTCCGGAAAAAATTTGCGTGATATGATCGTGTTTTTTGTTGTTGTTTTGTTTTTTACTTCTTGGCAGTTCCTCCTGTTTGTTTATGATATTTCGTCAGAAAAAAATCAAACAGCATTTTCAGGAGCCAGTCACCATAAAACACAATTCCACTTTGGTCCTTACATTAGTTTCGAGTTTCCTCTTTACAGCTATATAAGACACAAAGGTAAAACCTAAGGGTAATACCTTAGAGATGCCTTCCGTAAATGAAGAAAAACAACAACACATTTCTGCCAACCGTAAAACATTATTTATCCGACTACTTTACAGATACACTCTGGCATAAGTACAATCGTTTTGCGGTTTTTCTTTACAGCAATATAAGGCGAAATGTTATCCCGCATGGATTTGTCTTATTATTGTATTGGCGATTTGTTTTCTTCTGTATATCATTAGACTGACTGAACATTCATTTCGGGAGCATTGTCATGAAGAGACAGCTCTTTTGAAACTGGGTTCTATATTATTCTGAAGGATCGCCAAATATATTGACCAAAGTCGATCTCAGAGGCTTGTGAGATGTTCTTCATATATCAGGATAAAAGAGATAAACACAGCCAAGAAAGTGAATGAAAATACAACAGAATGATTATTTGATAATTAGTCTATCAAAGAAATAAACAATTTAGAGTTATGAAATGAAATAAATTAATAAAAAATGAATGAACAATATATGTATATATAATAAATTAATAATTACCCGTAACGTTTATGTTCTCTTACAAAGCTCCCTCTTTAATGAGATATTTCAGAAATGATCCGTAATATCAATGCATTTTTTTTTGCTATTTAATGTCAAGCAACAAAATAACAAACTGTAAACATTAAGGTGCAAACATTGATATGCACTATTTTAAAATATTTTTGACCTTAAACTTTATTTACCTAATCGATATTGCAAAATGCATATCGTGCACCTATTGTAAAAAAAACAGATAAAAAAAAATAAAATTTGGCGCAAGTTATTGTCAATACATTGTTCAATGCGAACTTTGCCTTTTTGTTCTTCTTTTTTTATGTAGCTGACTTCCGTTTGTGTTATATTGCAAACGAAGTTAAAAAGAGACATAACTCTTGTAATATTATATAAAATAATGCGTTCAGGATAGTACCCCATGTCTTACAACTTATTATTGTCGTGATAATTAAATGTTCCAAGTTTTATTTAGTTCGCTTTGATAATCTGATAGTTGATATTTTCACGCTCAGTCTGTATGTGGAATACACCTTCTCAAACGTAATTAGCTTTTGTTTATATTTTGTTTTTTGTGTGTTAAAGGGATATAACGCCACAGAAATGATGGTAGTTTTCCTTCTTGAGAAACGTCAAACATGAGTTTTATCAAGTTTAAATATCACCTGAAGAAAGTTTTGTTGAGTGTGATTTTATTTGTAGTAAAAAAGCAAAATGTAAACGAGTATTTCTTTAATTTTCATACAAAATACTTATAGTATACAGATACAGATAGTTATATTTTATTTTGCGAAAAGTATATATTTCCATTTAACAATTGTGCATTGTACTTTGTGGTGAACTAAATTTGCATTCCATCTAGTTGTGGCATGACTATTAGCTCCTGACAAATAATTTTTACGGCCATGTTCATATCAAACAGATAGGAAATACTTATTTAAAGCAAAATCTTGTTTCATTCTTCCCTCTCTCTGTAGCATTTATTTTTTCTCTGGACTTTATGAACATATTATGAATTAAGTCACAATGAGTTTCCTTGATAGCGGATTAAGCCTTTGGACATTTGATGATCGCCTATCGTCCTCTGCTACGTATCTGAGCATAGGTTTCCCACACACAAATAAGATATTAAATTTTAATATCGACGCCACAGTAACCATATTACGATTTATATATTGTGCACATTTCTTCAGTATATATGCCTACTTTAAACACGAAAGTGTAAACAATCTCGTTTAATGGTGAGAAAGCCTGTGCATATTATGCTTATAAAAAGTTTACCTATAAATAACCTGAATTTTAGTATGCTAGTCCAATATTTCATTTCAAAGAAAACTAAGAATGATTCTTACGTTTTATTGATCAAACATGTTTTAACATTCATTTGTTTACTGTGTGAAGCGACATTATATTAAAGCAGAGGTCACTAGAAAGGTGAAAAAGATAGACAATCGACGCGTAAAGTGTTTATCTAGAGTGACCTCAAGCGTCACTGCACGGTTTTTGACACGGGGAAATACACTGGACACCCGAGGGCATGTACAATGCACAACTAAACCTGAAGACAGCTGTATACGGTTTTTTGCATTTCTTAACTGATAAAGGAGTGAACCAAGGTTCCAAACATAGTTCCATCTTACCACCAGACAACGAATATCTAAAAGTCCATCGGAAATAGATTTAACGACAGTACTATGGATTCAACGGCCTGCCCGTTTTTAACACATGCTCACTCCATTAGAATACAGACAAAGTGGCACGAAATATATAAATAAAGCAATGAAATTTTACTATAACCTGTTTGTATTTGTCAATTCTGTATGCTTTATGCTTATGACACTGAAATTATTAATATAAAGCAGTGTATTTTCTGCAATGGAAACTATATTTTGGTATAATTAATATATATTATTTCGATAGCCTCAGTTGTCATTATTGTATTGCTTTTCTGTCTCCGAAGATATTATAGGTGATTTTGAATCAGGATCTTATGGTGGCTGATTTGTGCCATATCGTATATTTTCGGGGCGAAAGTGCGAAAACACGAACACGAAAATACTGTTTTTTTTGCGTTGCGGGGCGATTACGCGATGAAAAAAAAGAACAACAAATAAAAAAACAATAAAAAAGATAAAAAACTTCTCGAAAATACGACACATAATAACTTGATTGCGCCACATTTATCAGTCGTATTTTTACATCCAATTTGTCGTGTCTTCGCCTAGCGGGTCGAAAATACGCCACATTCTGAATTTCATGTTTTTGTCTGCCATCTGGCGTATATTTGCATGGCGGGTGCCACGCTAAAACACAAAAAAACACCTGGTTTTTACCACCTTCTATTTAGGCATAAGCTCAGCAACTATACATCGCTACACAAACAGAAGAATGTGGCGTTTTTTGTGTGGTGGGGCCAAATGACAACGCACATAGAAAGTAGAGTCTTTTCATATGGAAGGGGATGGCAGGGGAAAGGTCGCCTGGCGAAAACACGTCAAAATTGCAATTTTCCCCTGCCACGCGAAAGAGGTAGTTTTTGTTTGTGTTTACACATTTTCGCCCCAAAAACATGACCATACAACATGACACAAATCAGGCAACATTAGATTCCGTTTAAATATACTTTTTCTTAACACAATTACGTCCATTTTCGCAGATTAAAAAAATACATTGCGTAATCAGATGCGCAGTTTTATTGTTTTCAGCTAGGACTCAGCTACTATTATGTCTAACATCAGCGTATGTAAGTCATACCATCAAATTCAAGAATACACATATATTTACTTCCCTTTGACAAACGCTTAAAAATGGGTGTACAAAGAAAATGGATGAATAGTGAATATACACGACTTTCCTTGAAGGATTGCATAACTCCAGTCGACCGAACAAAGATTTTTGCAATGCAATAGACAAAACTTTTTCAATTGACTAATATATCACACATGTGTAATATTGCATTTATATGACATTGTAATATTATCTCTAAAACATTAATATTCGTAAATTGCGCACAGAAAAATCCCAACAAGAGTAATTTTAAATCAAGATGCACTCGAATATGAAACATCATTCTATGTATATTCGTGAAGTCACGAATAGTACAATACAAGGTAAATGACTGCTAAATATAGAATAAATGTAGATAAATATCTAGATATAATGTATCTTATGTATTCCCTATTTTAGATGACTTTATTATTCTTCCTATAAATAAATAAAATGGATAAAATGGTATTTATTGTAATATACCCTAAATGTCAACTCATACAAATTGTATTATAACTTTAATACATATATTGCATATAGAAATCGACCCCAACTCACCCAGTGATATATTATAACGCCTAGAGGCAATATCACATACTTGTGTTTCTTGAATCGTTGAATTATTTCACTTGTTTTCTTTAAATCATTCGGTTAAAAGCTTTCATTTGTATACATGTGTTCACAATAATAAGTTTTTCAGAAGCCAAAATGACATTAATATGACGCAGTTTATCAATAACAACCACTACAGTTCATCATAGTCCATGCCTTTACATGCAACATTGCTTAAAATGCATGTTCTGAAAAGTGGAAAGTGCTAAACATGTATATAAAGTAGTAACCAAGTACCATAGTTTTTATGTACTTAAACATTTTCTCCTTTCTCACCATTATCACAATGTTTTGTTTTATTATATAGTCTTCTACTTCATTTTACACTCAACTATTTAGGTTATATAGCGACTTTCTGGCTAGTAAAAGTAGGAACCGAGCTGGATATCTGTGCATAATTTCATTTGAGAGGGGTTATTAGAGTGTTCGTGGAAATGTTCAAACTACAGTTGACGATTACGCTATTTAGGTAAATAGGCGCACCAAGTAGTTTGACCTTTATTTTATAATGAAATCGTTAAACACATTTTGACATACGATCACTTAAATGTTATATATGATCTTCACTGAAGTATTATTCCAAATATATCATGGAACGCTTGACAAGCGTTGAGAGACGTCCAATTTTTTTATGGTCTCAGGCGGATGGGGTGTAATAAATTACTGTTCAGTTCTTATATTTCTGTTGAACTACAGACATATCATAATAAGAATATTATCTAGTATACGTTATTGTTGAAGTATATCATTTCTCTGATTTTGACAGATGATATCTATCAAGAAGAGTGAAATGCTCTTCGTCAAAGTAGGCCAATATATCTTTTCTGGTTCAGCTGATTGTATTTGATGATGACAAAGGTTAACTAGTGACACAGAGAAACTGGAACTTAAATTTAACTTAAAATCGACCAAATTGCATACGCATTCAATGTTGTTGATATAATATATTTTACAAAATTAACATGAATTTATTTATACATTGTATCATTTCCAGTTATGTTTTTGATTAAAGAGTAAATTGTTGACAATTAAGTTTGTATATTTCCAACTCGTTTGACATTTTATGAAAGAACTTTTGTTTTCTGGGTTTAATCTAACTTACGATAATAAATTGTTGTTTGTATGCTTTTTTGTTAGGAAAAAAATGTGAGGAGTAACCCATAGTAACATAAAGTCAATGAAACCATCCAAAGGGGACAATGTCGTGCATGGAAGGCAAACAAAAACAAACCCATTTCACTGCATACATTTATTGTCTAGTAATCCTGTCAAAATTGATGCAATTTTCTACGTTGTAAAAAATGATTTAATGTTGTATTGATTATTATTGTACCAACTGACCTTTCAAGTACATAGTATTTGTAAAAACACGATATGACATTTTGGATGCATTTGTTGTCACGGCAATCTTCCATTTCTTCCCTTATATGTTTCATTTATTTTCATCCAAAGAGCTAAGTGGATCCTTTGTTCTATCTTTTGCTTTCATATTCCGTTTGAGTAACCTGATATGTCAGGGAACTACTAGAATGAAGTATTGGTCAGCAGAACGGCCATTTAGTACGGGGACCACACAACTCTTTTTGCATAGGAAGTGCAATTTAACGCTTTGAGATTTATCACATTAATAATTTTGGCTTGTTAAAATCTTCTGATAAATCCTTTTTCCATCACCTTTTCTAGATAAACACATATTTTCCTACATTTTTCAAAATCATTAAGCATTTTAAAATTTCTTTCAACGTGCAGTAAATGGAACTGTAATT